TTTTCAAATTAAAATAATTTGTACTTCGAATTCTTAGCACAAAAAAGGAAAACTTGAAATAGCCATCACGGCCGAACGGCAATTTCGTAGGTAAATACCTATTATTTTTTACACCATGCGCCGTCTTTCCAGCTTCTGTCCTATCCTCTCCATTATATAGTTGTCTAAAAAAATCTCTCTCAGCGATAACACCACCCATTCCCTGTAGCATGAGCACTACATTATACATTTTATCACCTGCTATATATCATATCGCGGTGCTCATGCTAGGGGGGATGATTACATTTTATGCCGTCAATGTATTTAAACTTGTACCTTATCTTACGACAAAAAAGTTAGACATGCGTTCAAGACCAGTTTAAGAAAAAATGTCATACAAAGTTTGCCTAAACAAGGTTTAAAGCAGTGTCGCAACTTTTTTGTAGTAAGATCATTGTCATCATTTGATAGTTTAAAGGGCCTCTTTGCATATGAAACCTATATAAAAAAATATATGAATGTGGAATAAACGTTTATGCTTATTGCACAAAGAAATCCCTCGTCTCCTATTGGAAAGAGTTTCAAAACGACATACGAGTATTTTTCAACTTAATATATAACTTAAAACGCACTCTTATGAATAAGACGTGTTCTCAAAAGTATAATGAGTAAAAAATTATAAATATTAGTATGGACGGATCGCGGTTTCTTCCCAGCAGAAGCGCAGTAGCAGGCAGGATTGTTACAATTTCACTGAATGTGTATTCTTAGAACTTAGGTTTACTATATTCGGCAGAGTAAACAACGATTTATCTCATCATCATCATCAGCCTATTAATGTCCCCACTGCTGGGACTCAGAACTTCCCTAAGGATGGAATAGGGAGATTTAAGTCTTGACCCGCCCGCCGCTGGTTCAGTGCGTATATTATGGTGGGTACTAACGACCGCAAACACAGCCATCACCAACGGCTTAACGTGCCTCCCGAAGCACAGAGGAGCTCGAGATATTTTTTCTTTTTGGTCACCCATCTAATGGCCGACCATTGAGATAGTTGCTTTAACTTCCACGATTGTAGGCCAAACGCGCTAACCATCTGCGCCATCGAGCTTCTCGATGATTTATCTATTCTCGACAAATAACAAGTGCATAAAAAATGTGTACTCGTACTTCATTGATTGGACTTTGCATTCCGTGGAACACATTAAGGTGGCATTGTCATCTAATCTTAAGAGAATATTTTTTACCGGCATAAAAATATTCCACAGGATCTCAATGTGTTGTAGAGGGTAATTACGTTGCAGTGCAACATCAGTTTCAACAATAGAAGTCATTATTTTAAGTAGGTATGTTTTTTGTTTTTATAAATTAAACAAATCTAATACGAAAATAAACAAACCTAAGTTAATACTAACAACTTCGTAAAATTGTTACAGGGTTTATAATAATATTTATGTGAATTTCTTGTAACTGAGGAGCTCGATGGAGCAAGTGGTTAGCGCGTTCGGCTGCGATCGTTGACGTTAGCAACTTCCGCAGTGGTCGGTCATTAGATGGGTAACCAAAAATTTACTATTTCGAGCTCCTCCGTTATCGGAAAGCACGTTAAGCCGTTGGTCCCGGTTGCATCTGCAGTCGTTAGCACCCACCAATCCATAGGGAAGCCCTGTGCCCCAGCAGTGGGGACATTAATAGGTTGATGATGAGAATTTTAATAACAAAAAAATACTGAAAATAAGCACCACAATAAAATCGTAACTGTTTTATTAGGTACTAATAAAATAAATAATAAACATTTTATGGAGTATAGAACAAACGATTTATACCTATATAACTTACTAAAATCTTCACATTGAGTAAAAATTACACTGACAACTAGGAAATTTTATGGTTAGCTATTTTATGAACAAAATAAGAAAACATATAATCACGTGATCACGTGAATCTGCTAAAGTAATAGCAAGTTAGAAATCATGAAACTTTTTTTGCTTGCAATGAAAAATACTTACACCTTATTGTATTGTGTTTCGCTGCACTAAAGGACAATATAGGAACCAATGTTTGTACCAAAACGCTTATTCAGTTTTAGCATCCATTGTACCACACTTTTGCATGGAAAGACTGATAAGTTAATATAAGTTGTCCTAAATCATAACTATGCCTGTAAATTTTAATGTTTTTTCACCGAATTTATCTTCACTATCTAGACCTGGAAAAAGTAAATTTCCGTTATGTTACGCAACAATTTCACCAGGTCATAATATAAACGATGGAAGTTGACAATATGAACTGAATTTCCAGTAACATGCTTTTAATGGACAAAAATATTTGTAATAATTAACTTGGTTAATGATGATAATATTGACGATGACGTACGCAATATTTCGGTATTTATTAAAACTGGATTCATGGAAAATTAGTTCAAAGTTTTATTGTTTACATAGAGTTTTGCAGTGAGTGCGTGTAGTGATATCAATATGTGGAATTTTTCTATTACTATAAGGTTTTATTTTTACAACTGTTAATTTAATAAATTGGTGTTGTCGGGAATGTAGAAATGAGTGCTAAAATTAGTTGACTTATGGATTCTTCAAAATAAATTTCATTTCCTAAACAGTGTGGCAAATTTTTAGATAGATAAATAAAAATATAGGCAATCAGGTGAGCCAAGCAAAGAAAATTTCGCATCCAAATGAATGAATAAAACCAATTGGAGAATGACGCAGCTCTCATTAAATGAAACCAATTTCAAACCTCAAACCGTAATACCTCGTAGACGTCATTGAAAATACCCATGTCTTGAAGACGTAGCTGACGTAGAATACTAAAAAAGGTTGTGCTCAGAGCAGGACAAGGCATTATTTAGATATTAATAGCAGGGGCGCTTTTTATATTAGCAAGACCTTTTGTTTTTGTTACTTGTCTTTGTACTCATATTATTTTCATGCTTTGACGTCAATTAGATCTTACGATATCATATTAGATAGTGGAAGGTATTCTGACTCGCACGCAATATGTAATTTTAGTCTTATAACTAGCATGCACAACAATGACAATAATCTAATTGCCGATTATTTTGTCTCCTTAATCATCAAAATCTCATAATGTATCTTAACAATTTCAAATGATTTTCATATGTTGGTAATTATAATAAAATTTATATATCTAAGTATTCAAATATCTGAGATGTGTATCTGATATAGTATAATGTTTAACCGGACTTGAACGTAACAAACAGAAAATAATGTAGATGTTTTTCAGTTTGTGAAAATGTTCAACTATAAAGTGGAAGAAAAACATAATATACCTGCTACTTTAACGAGGGTCCGGCAGGGAAAGACAGTCATCTAGAAGACCACAGTAATAAAACAAGTAATAAAAAAGCAGTCCGATGTGGACATCGGAAACGACGAAACATGTTTTTGTTCTTAGTAGACTTAGTAGAACAAAAAAATGTTTCGTACATTGGTTGTTCCAAAAATATAAACAAGAATGCGCCAAAAAACGAACAACGTGTTTTGACAGATCTATAAAAAAAAAACGGACATGTACTGTTCACATGCAATAGAAGTGAAACCTACAAAAAGGTAACACGTAAAAGTCCTTTATGACTAGGTACGTCTTAAAGACAACACATGTGTTAAAATTCAACTTAATATTTTATACTACTTCAATTGTTTCGAAAAATGAATAATAGCAAAATAAAAGAAAAAAAAACAAAATGTGCGTTATGTTTAATATATAATTGAATTAATCAGGTTAAATGATGATGAATCAGACATTAATATACTATTTAATTTAAGTTATATTTTCGCAAAAATAAGCTTAATTACTTATACATCAACTTTTATACATGTACTTGCGATAGCATGCTCCATCTAAGGAATTTTAGGCAAACTATTTTAAAGGTTAGATAATTTAAAGCACACATGCTTATATGCTAGCCTTGCTACAAAAGCACTGCCGTAATCGTATAAGAAAATGCTTAATTTCTCGATAGATGGCGGCACTAAAACGAACTAAAAAACAAATTATTTACATATTTTACAAAGATAAGATTGAAGCTATTAACGTGCAAGGAATAAACTGTAATAAATATATCGGACTATACGATATCCGTTGAATTAATGTTGTACAACATCATATACAGAAAATTACTATTCGAAATTAGTTAATTGAAACTTTTGTATTAAGGGAATCAGAAAAAAACTACTATAAAATAATCAGCTACACCCCAGAAAATAAAAAAGGTAATTTCATAAGTTGATCCAATCGAGGATCGAACCAGGTACCCCGCGAGATTGCAGGATTGATTGATTACAAAAACACTACCTTGCTCTGGCGGTAGTTATAAAAATGATGAAAAACACAAACGTATAATACGTACACGTATACAAAACATCACGGTTGTTGTGATGCTGATTTTCTCAAGCTTTGTACCCTCCCAAACGTCCCATGACACTTGAGTGTCTTAAAAGTTTTTCCAGTCAAACGCCCGAGGACACTAGAGTTTGAGTCTTGTTTTTTGTTCATTAGCACGCTTTAGAAAGCATCCTTATCGCTGCTTGTGGTCGCTTTGGTTTAGGCAAAATATGTAGATGGCGTTGTGAATAAAAATGAAGTGCTCTCTGAACTTTAGATTTTTTTACATCAGTTTAAAGTACGTTTTATTTCTTTTGTTATGTTTTTATTATCTTAGTTTTTTTCGAAATATTCATTTATGAAAAATAACTGTTTAATAAATTGCAAACATTGCAAAGGTAAGGACTGTTGATAAAAACCAAGCCTGTATTATTAAACAAATTAAGCACCTACCAAAGTTTAACACTTAACTATTCAGGTATTGTAATATACTGGGCAAATTTATATATTATATACTTAAATTGTTTTGAAAAATAAATAATAGCTTAACAAAAGAAAAAACACAAAACAACGAGCTCAGGATCGAACCACCAATCAGTTGGACCCCAAGACCGTTACAGTTTGGCTATCCGTCTCTTATGATAATTGACAAAATTACCGATACCTACCTACCTACCTTGTGCCAAATACTCTACTTCCGTTTAATCGAATCTCAACAACGGTGCTAAAGAAGTTTTCATTTCAAAATTTTATTTTTAGAATGTGTTTGTCAAGACTCTCAATAGTTATTATTCGTCTTTAATGATTTTGATAACCATTAGTTATTGATGAAAAACCAACTTATTTGAAAATGATGCTCTACAATCATCACATTGTTTTATTAATGTAGGTATTTAATGTAAGTTTCAGTCATGGTGATGTAAGTATTTAAAAGTAATCGTGGACTGAAGAAGCAGTTCTAAACATACTTATTTCAAATAATTGCACGAGCTGTTCCATTCTTCCATTTGTTCTTCTTACCCTGCAAGATTAAAGGAAATGTTCCGAAATACACTATAGACCTTACACGCAGCGACTACGTGCAGTCAAGTGTAGCTGCACTACTATTTTGTATAGATCTATGAAAATAATTCTCAACAACCTATTGCAGGCTGCAGGTGGTACTTAGGAATGGCATCTAAATAGTGAGATGCCATTTAATAGTATTACATGTATATTTTTTACTTTGAAGTATGTAACTGCTAGATGTCTAAATCTAAAGAAAATGTTGATGAAAAAACATATAAGTTAATAATAATAATAAATATAATAAACATTTCCAATACTCACACCAATTAGCCTAGCCCCAAAGTAAGCACTGTAAGGCATGTGTAATGGGATACTAGGATAACGGATAGAATACATGTAAAGTACATAAATAAGTATATTTATATAGATATACATATTAAACATCCATGACTGAAGTAGAAATGCTCGTATTCATCACACAAACATCTACCCCCACCGGGATTCGAACCCGGGACCTCTCTGGTTGGCGGCTTTAGTCTATAAAACCCGGCGTGCATGCCACTCGGCCACGGAGATCGCCTTCTGTTTGTATGGTAGTTCTCACGCAGAGAACTACTTAAATAGTTCCCAAACTTTGATTTTGGACATTGACAAATATTATTTATCAGAGTTGAAAGAAAATAAGTAAATCTATAGACAGATTTAAAAAAAGACCTCTCGAGTCGGCGACACCATGAAACCCGGCGTACAAACCACTCGGCCACGGAGGTCGACAAATAATAAGTATTACAATTGTTACTTGAAATATTAAGGGCTGCGCAGTCCTCATTAAGCTGTAGTCGCTGCAAACTAACAAAATTTATTGTGACGGTCCATCAAATTCACAAACTCAATAAAACTCAATAAATATGTTTTCAATAGGGCAAATAGAACGCTTATTCTCATTTAAGTATGACGGTTCGCGCGCCTGCTTTTCGGCAATGTCAATATCAATGCCCTGCGTCTATAATTTCAGTCTAGTATTTTTCTTCGCCCCAACCCTTGGTTACCGAGGGTCAGTACCAGAGGCGATAGCGGGATTCCTGCGGGACACAGAGGAGATGCTGAACGGAGAACCACCTGATGCAGTCCACCTGCTGCCAGAGTACGACTTCATCATCATCGGCGCTGGGACCGCGGGCTGCGTTCTCAGCAATAGACTCACAGAAGTTGAACAATTCAAGGTAAAAATATTTCCAACACATTTGCTCAAAAATGCATTTACGGAGGTTGTATACATAGTACGAAAGTTCAAAATTTCGGGCCATACAACGGAGCGTGGGGTAAAACACTTTACCGCACATTCCCATACAAGGCAACGTGCGTATCCTTTACGGTTTTCATGGAAGCATTTTACATCAATACCTTTCTTTCACTTTAATACTAAAAAGAAAAATAGATGATAGATTCAGTTCTAATTTTCACCACCCACAGGTGGCGTCATTTTCTTATTAGAAAAAGTTTGCTTCATAACTTAAATTAGTTAGGTACAGTGTTTTCTGGCAAATGTGTTAAAAACGATGTAACTGCTGTGTAAGTGCTGAATTGGTATTTACAAACTCGTGGCTATGGTAAGCCAGTTGCATTCGTCTACTTGTTTGTAATAATCAACTTACCGCACTAATATCATAAATAACTATTAATATTCTGAAAAGAAACTTTTGGCAATACCACTCCTCCTACGTCCTCCCCAGAAATATGTGATGATGACCTTGTTATTTGTGGCGTATATTTATGAAGGTTTATTCGGTAATCCTTATCTCGTCTAAACATTCATGTTGATATGTTATCTACGCTTGGACACACAGCGGCATTCCCGATTAATTCGAGTGTAAACTCTAACTTACAAAGATCCATAGTAAAATAATACACCTCTTGGTGGTAATGTTGTGTCTCTGCCAGTGAGTATGGTTTATAGAGCTCGCACGAGATTCTGCATTGGAGATGACGGGTATAACAAATTTTCTTTTTGAATTGGACCGCCCGGCACCGCCATCGGTTGATGAAGCAACCGCCACCTAACCCTAGTGAAGTAATACTACCCTTTGATGGTATTCCGTTTCTGTCGGTAAGTAAGGTTTCAGGGCTCCACGGAGTATATGGGTCAGGTCATCAATTAATGGATGGATGGCAGGAGGACTACATTTTTCTTTTTTTGTTGTCACGCAGGCAAAACCTCTGTTTACAGACGACGCGACGGCGCCTTTAAGAGGCACACCGCAGAACGGACCTCACACCCAGTACTCGCAAACGTCACGGGCACGATGGGGCTAACCCCCAAAGTAACCCGCGCCATTTACGAGCATGCTTAACGGCGTACTATCCGCTTAAAAACCCTGCGAATGGGCTCTAAGCTGCTTGCTATATCAGCTATTATCGCAATTCCTCCACTCACACTTAACGTCAAGAAGGGTGGATAATTTGCTGCATTCATATGGAGTCAGTATATAAAATAAATAATAAATCTATGCGAATATGTAACTTCATTAGTGACGCTTTACCTCGACTCTTCCTCCGCTTGACCTCTTGGAGTTACTGGTTCAGAATATTGATTTAAGGTATCCTCAACCTTTTCCTTTGAAGTTTGCCACAAGGCAGATTAGAGAACCATCTTTAAAAACCGGTCGATGTAAGTCTCACCCAATGCTAATTGTACCTACCGTAATTAATATACCTTCCCCATGCTACTAACAAACAATGTTGCTCGATATTAAATATTAATTATGACGTTATATTATCCAATACTTATTATAAAGCAGACTTCAACTTCACGGCCACAGTGACTTAATCTTGGAGTCTAGGCAAGTTTAAGTCTGACTTGAATACGAAGAAGCTTGTCTAGACCTTGTGTCTAAATGGAACACAAGGTTTAAATTTTTGAAATAAAGTCAAAAATTCAGTCAGCAGTAGAAATTCATTGTATGAAAATTTTAACTGTCTGCCTATTACAGTTAACTTATGACGGATGATATGACAGCTGACAGACAGGCGGACGAACGGTCATTTACGGCCAGCGGAGGCTTATGACCTTTGTCGCCATTTCGGTACCTATGAAGAACTAAAAAGCTTACAAAGAAACATTTTCCGAAAGGGATTTCATTTGTAGTTATAATTTTGTATGTAGAGCATTTGTGCTTTTCAATAATCATTTTGTTACGTTTGTTATCGAGTTTTGATTGAATGTACACACAACAAAGTACGTATCAAGTTACCACATTATCTAAAGAATTATTTTTACCAGAAAAAAACCATTTGATCCAGGTGTCAGACTGGATTCGAACCCGCATCTTAAGCTATCCGGGCGGACGCACTAACCAATTATGCTACCGACACCTTAATGGCCTTGTCGAATTTCTTCTAGCATTTCTTAGGCTACAAGGCAGTGCCTGGATAGCGTAAGATGCAGGTTCGAATCCCGTCTAAAACCTAGACCGAGTGAAACTTTTTCAAGTAAAATTTTCTGTAGCACTTAAATTAATTACCACATAACGTAAAATTTTCTCAATCGACTATAAATTGTATTAATGAAGCTGGATAAAGCTTAAAATCTGTTGTGAAACTTAACAGTTCCAGCAGTAGTGATGGGTGTTTTCATTTCACTCGTCAAGTAGAATCTTTAAGATTCCCATTTTAACAAATGGGAACGTATGGATAATGTTTGATATTGTACACACACAAAAAACTGTAACCTCCTTTTCGTATTAAATTATTTTATAAGATTTTTATTTAAGCTACGCGGTTGAAGCATTTGGCGCTTCCCAAATTCACAAGTTACATATACCTACTTAGTGGTAGTATAAAATACAAATAAATAAACGTGTTTTTAATTTTTACAGGTCCTCCTCATAGAAGCTGGTGGCAGCGAGCAGGTGTACATGGACATTCCGGTGCTGGCAACCTTACTTCAGTTCACAGACGCTAACTGGAACTATTTCACAGAACCACAGGTAAGTTATCATCATAAGCCTATTAATTTCCCCACTGCTGGGGCACAAGGAATAGGGAGATTGGGTCATGGCACACCACGCGGGCCCAGTGCGGATTTGTGGGTGCTAACGATTTAAGATGCAGCCGGGACCAATGGCTTAACGTGCCTGCCAAATCACGGAGGAGCTTGAAATATTAAATTTTTGGTCACCAACCCAATGACCGACCACTGCGAAAGTTGCTTAACTTTAACGTTCGCAGCCGAACGCGCTAACCACTTGCGCCATCGAGCTCCTCAGGTTAGCATTTAATATTATAATTAGGGATGTAAATTGCATACCAGTCCCCGTAGCATAAGCATCACAATTTTATTTACATATCACGTTTTTTTTCGGCGTCTAACTGTCAAACTCTATATTAATTTAACAATGGAGCGCGATAAAAACGCGTCATATATCATATTGCGGTGCTCATGTTACGGGGGCATAGCTGATAAAATATTATATCACATTGTGTTATAATAAACTAACCGATTGCACCTGTTACGCTATTCATACAATCGATAAACGGTCACACATCTAGATCACTCAGGTTAACAGTAATTATAATGAAAGCCTTGTAACGTATGTGACTAACATTCAGAATTGATACGTGCCTATACCTACGTGATGGCGATCGCATCGACAATCGATATATGTACTCCACGAGTATTCGAGTGGCAATGAATAGATTAACTTTCAAATTAAATTTGTCCTCTTTCCTCTTCCTGTTTTTGTCATCATCATCAGCCTATTAATGTCCCCACTGGGGCACAGACCTTCCCTATGTAATGGGGAGATTGGGCCATGACTTAACACGTTTAAAGTGTGCCTTCCGAAATACGGAAGAACTCGAGATAGGAGATTTATGGTCACCCATCCAATGACCGACCACTGCGAAAGTTGCTGAACTTCAACGATCGCAGCCGAACGCACTAACCATCCGCGCCATCAAGCTCATTATGGTCCCTGTTTAAGTATTGTGTCTAAATACGTGAATTTTAAGTGAAATACATGAGAAACTTAAAAATCGTGTAAGTAAAAATAGTGCGAACAGCCATAAAAAGAAAACGTACTAGGTATATCCTCGTCCAAAAACAATGATTTACCTATATCGTTGACAAAAGTTAAGTTTAGTTTTCCGTTTAATGGAGCGCAGACGACGGATTTACGTCCGCGTATTATGAAAAAAATTACCGCCCAGGACTTGTCACGGACTCAACGCACGCGGTGTGCGGAGTGGCGGACATACGCAGACATTTGTTGGCCGGAAATTTAGTGAAGTGCACACTATGGAAGCAATAATCTGAGATTACATGTCAGATGTCAGTGAACTGCGCACATCATTTCGCAGAAGATCAAAATTAAATGCGAGTTCTTTTCGCATGCAGCAGAGTTCTATAGTAATACTTTTTAGAAATAGTTAGCGACAAATTTTTAAATTGTCATTTTTTGCGTAAAAACGCCAGAACTATTTCTAAAAAGTACCAGGATCTACAGAACTCAGCTGCATGCGAAAAAAACTCACATATTTTGTTTTCGATTTGCTGCAAAATGATATGCTACCTGAAATTAGCAGAACATTTTTTTAATTGTTATTTTTCACGTAAAAATGCCAGAGCTATTTCTAAAAAGTATCAGGAACTATAAAAGAACTTTTCTGCATGCGAAAAGAACGCACATTTAATTTTGATCTACAGGGAAATAATGTGCTAAGTTCACGTACATTGAGATTACGTTGTATTGTAATTAACATGAAAGGACATTGCTCGTTCCCCATACATTGAATGCCATAGAACGCCCAGCAATGAGAAAATGCTAGTTGTGTTCGGAATCATTCATAAACTCTTATTAGGCATTTGTTGAGATACGGACAACTTGAGGAACCGTGGCCTACTACAGAATGTATTAGATTTTGAGGTTATAATTATTATACTTAATCGTAAAAGATGTACACTTTATATATTCTGAATAGATTTAGTGTTTACCTCTATGTAAGCACTTAAATAATATGCATCAAATGAGTGTTGGCAGTTGGCACTTATGATACCTATACCTACCTGTTGTAATAATAGATTTCTTTTCAAATGAAATGTTCAAAGTCTTTTCATTTACCGTTTTCTATTTTTTACTGTCGGTAATAAGATATTTTCCTGGTTATTATTATGATTTTCAAAAAAAAATAAAGATATTTTATGGGATGGGAGTATAAACTATCTTTACATAATTTCAGAAATAATCTTTTTGTAAATATAATATAAATAAATACTAGTGACAAGTATGATAACTAAGGTACCTAGTTCTATTCTTATGTTGATAAATACTTATGGTCGCCTATATTGCATTTATTAAGGTAAACAATCTTGGCACAACTTTTTAACAAAATCACCCATTTAAAATTAAATAATAACGAAGCCAATAAACAATTAAAATAAATCGTTATTATAGACTGAAATATTTTCAATCCAGTTATCAATTGATTTTTAATGCTGTATTTTCAATAAAAAGGAGTGCCAACATTGTTTACCAAATAGGACAAGTTAGGATGAATAGACTGTAGTATCTAGTAACAGAACTTTTATTTATTATTTTTTTAAACAGATTGTCCGTTTACTATGATTAATTGCTAATAAATTAAAAAAATAATAGTGAAGGACATTCTTTTGGGCATGCTAGGGCCGATTTCGTCGATGTCCTTTAAGATAAATAGAAGACGTTCTAAAAACGAACACTGGGTCCATCCCTTTATATCAGATTGATTATATATTTGTACTGTTGAGGTTTTTTATTATGTTTTCACTATAGTCTTCTATAATATTAGAATGAATCGCTGAATATGTTGCTAAGCGTAAATCTCGAGAACAGCTGAACCGATTTCCATAATTCTTTTTTTAGAATATTCCTTGAAATACGAGGATTGTTCTTACGCAAAGAAAATTTAAAAAAAAAACTCTAATGTCCAAAAACAACCCTTTTCTATACTTCCATACAAACGATTCGTAATAATACTAAAAAATCAATTTGAACTTTAATACTATACCATATATTTCAAATGTTAGTGGAGATACTCTGGGAGGGCAAAACAATTGAGCATTGTGATGTCAATAGAAATTTGGAAAAGGCAAATATATCATTTTCAGTTTATAATTACAATGAAGAGTCATTTAAATCTCCTACAGCTCTACACCGAAGCGAAGCGAGGGCAGGTATTGAATAAAAGAATGTTTCACGATCTTTTTGAAAGATAATTAAATATAGTTTAAACGTAAAGCGATACAAATCCTATGAACAACATAGTTGACGTTGATTTAATCACATAAAATAATAATAAGTGTGGCTTAGCGTCATGTCTTCTGAGCCTACTATAAAATAGGTCCAAGAGATAAGATTTTACAAACAAACGTTTTTTTCAAATTTCACGCTTTAGAGGCTGAATTACAAAAAATCCCATCTTATTACTTGTCTAGGTAATAATGGGAACCTACTGTCCAAATTTCATCATTATAGGTTCCAGCAGTTTCGGCTGTGCGTTGATGAGTCAGTCGGTAGTCAGTCAGTGTATCTTTTTCTCTCTTCATATAATAGTATAGATAACACGCTAGAGTTAGCTAAAATTTTCTAATTCACCCTCAAAAGTAACCACCATATTCGGAATTTAATTATTCACTTTATTCGCACGCGTTTGGGTCATAGTCATAGACATACATACACGAACCAAATTTCAACTTGATCGATCCAGTAGATTCTGAGCGTATCGATTGTGATGGACAGACAACCGAGTAATCCTATAAGCGTTCCATTTTCGCCGGTTGAGGTAAGGAACCCTAGAAAACACTTTGGGGGTTACCACGTGACCACGGAGCTTGCACATGATCTGACACGTCTAGAATAATGTAAAATTTCAATAAATGTGTTTAGACTGTTTTATTAAATTATTATATACAGTTGTTATATAATAATAACTCCAGGTAATAAACTCTTAGAAATACATGATAGTAAGTAATAAAAAAAATGTTATAATAAGTTTTATTAGGACGAGGTTTACAAAATTCATAAAACTACGATTAATCAGACGTTTAATGATAAATAATAAATAAAACAAACCGTAAAGAATAATGACCATAACTATTTATGTACGTAATCATCTAACCTACAAATAGGTATAATTGCCGGAAGTTACAACTTGATATAGGTATATATAAAGCCTTGACCGCGAAATGTTTGAAATCTTGAATACAATACTACTAACAAATACAAATTACATACCTACTACAGTTTACTGTAGATGTTTAAATATAAAGAAAATTTTACTAGAGAAAAAATCCACTCAGTCCAGGTTTACAGTTTACTGTGTTCATAGATGTTTATCTTAAATACGAAAGTCAAAGACTTAATTTTTTGCTAGCTAATTTATATAAAAACCAAAAGTCATAGATATAAAAAAAAATTAAATTGCTATAATTTAAGAATATCCTTTTTAAGCTGACAGCGGAGTTTTCATGAAGAGGTAAAAAGAGGTAGAATAAAACCACTCCACTCACGATATTGCTAGTTACTCAGATTGCAGACCTTTTGTTCTATAATCTGAGGCTAGTTATATTAATTCGGGGTATATTTCCGATGAAGAGAATTTCATAACGAAATCTAATAGAAGATGGACTAATTTTTGTGCAAAAATTCTCACTAAACAGCGCTAACTTATCGAGTGGGGATTTCGGTTAAAATAAATCTCAGAAAAAAACCATTTTATGTAAAATGTTGCCAAGACAAGACCATATGACTCACACTGACAAAAAGTTATCAGATCTCATGTACAGCCATGCTTCTAACTCTGCCCGCCCTAATTCTACAAGGCCTCAATCCACAAACTTCTACACCTTAGTCAAAATATGCGGCTAGGCAATTTCTTTGCTACAAGAACTATTGTACCTTTAACAGAAATCGGTCGAGCGCGCGCACGAACGGCCGTGTGCAATATTTAC